CCGACAACATAGTACGAGCCATTGCCTGTAGTATTTGGCCTCGTCTTTCTATAAAGGAATTATGTTGTGGCCTATATGGTGCAGACTTTTTATGTTCTACACCTGCCATCTTCAGTCTATTTTGGAATTCATTATTTATAAATTCCGTACCATTATCAGTTACAAGAGTTACTAGTTTCCTTTTAGTTTTTCTTTCTGCAAACTTCAACCAATTAAAGAAATTCTGATATGTTTCCGTTTTACTCTTCATTAAATAGCAGAAACCATATCTAGAATAATGATCCATTATACTTAATATATAACGAGCATCTCCTACACTTGGTTTTTTAGGACCTATAATATCAGCAAATACGACCTCTAGAGGCTCTTTAGTTTTAAATCCATTAATTCTATTTGCTGGTATTACCTTGCTTTTTTCTTGACTGCAAGCATTGCAGTACAAATACTTATTGCAAGACTTCAGTTTTATACCTTTAGATAGTTCAACCGTTTGCTTGAGCATTTTAAAATTTATATGCCCTAAACGTCTGTGTAACAAATGTATGCATTCATCATGAGGTTTAACGTTATTATACACTGTGTTAGCCATCTCTAACTGATTATCTTTTAATACATACAATTCACCTTTTAAAGTTGCAGTCACCTTTTTACCTTCTTTTTCTATTATGCAGTTTTCTCCCCTAAAGGTAACTACATAACCTAGTTTAATCAAAACTCTAACCGAAAGCAAATTAAACTTAAGTTGTGGTACATATAACATTTTTACATTTTCTTGTATGCAAGAACAATGTGCAGTACCTTCACCTTTTGCTTTAATTTTCCAGCCATTAGCTGGAAAATTTGCTGTGAACTCGTGGACATCTTAATAAATCTTTTCTTATCTTTCGTTATGCAGTGCGATGCTCCACTATCTACCACCCAAAAATTATTATTGTTCACAGTTTCGTTGCTATACATGGCTAACTCTAAGCATTTTTTATCCTTTTGATGCCTTTTTGCATTCTGGCTGGCATTTTGGCGTTTTACTTTCTTGCAGAATCTAGCCAAATGTCCTTTTCTTCCACAATTAAAACATATTCTAATTGTGTAGGCTGACGAAGATAATTTATCTTCTTGTGGTTCTTCCCTTCTCAGTTGATCCCTTTCAAGCCTTCTCCTGGCTTCTTCAATTAATCTGCCAATAATGTCAGTTAATGTGAGGTTATCTTTTGGCAGAACTTCCAACAAAGTTACATAGTCATCATAGCTCTCATCTAACGAAGACAAAATTATATAAACCTGATGTAGTTCAGTGAAGATAAGTTCTTTTTCATGCAGTTCCTGAAAAATCCTCTTCATAGTGTTTATATGAGTCAACATGTCTCCATTCTTTTGAAGATGTGTTCTGAACAGCTCCCGTGTAAGATTTATATGTGCTCCTACACTGTCTCGAACATAAATCTTCTTTAAATTCTCCCAACACTTAGCAGCTGTTTCTGATCCACGAATATGGACAAGCTGCTGGTCACAGAGTGTCAGTCCTATTATACAGAGAGCTTGCTCATTCTTCAGTTTATATTCTTGTATTTTCTGGGCATCATCTTCATCATCTGGATCCCAAGCATCTACCTCTGGTGGGTTTTGAATTATACTCCACAAACCTTCTCTTTGTAGAAGTAGGCTGCATTTCATAGACCATGAAACATAGTTTGTTCCATCCAGTTTGGATATTAGAGACAAACTTTGTAAATTGACTTGTGCCATCTTTCTCTGGATATTAAACTGTAATTAATAAAACGTCTGTTTACAGTATTGTGTAACTACACTAACTCTCACTTTATATAAGCCTGTTATATCCTGGTTAGTCTGACTGTGCAGCTGGTCCCATAACCAGTGTTAGGGATACACCCTAGCAGAATCTGCACGGCAGTCAGGCAGTCAGGCAAAATATGTGAGATAAACGTTTTTGTAGCTTACACTCAGTAAAACAGATACACCGTGCTAGTTAAATAGTTTATTCCAGTAAGAGTTTTAGCATAGTCAAACAGTCCATGTATCATTCACTAATTCAGTCCATCCAGGGATTATTCAGTTGCAAATTCCAGTGTCGAAAAAGAGAGGTCAGTAAACTTACAAATATCAGTCCAGTAATATATCTCCTCGCAGTAGAGATATGAAGAAGTCAAAACCTCCTTTCTTCCTCCAGCAACTCAACAGTAGGGAAACACGCAGTTAACAAACCATCAATCCATCAATCCATCAAACCAGTAATTGTCAGCAATCGTCAGCAAATGAGCAGGTTCTCTTGCTCCCTCTTATGGCGGTTTCACACCGCACCCAAAATTACATGCTTTGCAGTTTAAAGTGACACACACTTAAACTTACAATCATAGTTTATATATATTATTTTACCCAAACTACGTTAGGTAACCTTGTTATTCCTAACAAGAAGAGAGTAAAGAAGGAAAGTAAAAGTTATAAATGACAGAAACAAGATATGGAGAAACAGGGCCTATTTAGAGATAATGGGTGAAAATTTAATTGAAACTGAACATTTTTGACTGAATTTATCCACCCAGATCAAAATGGTTTCTTATTAAAAAGACAAATAAAGCACAATTTAAGGATTATATTAGATACATTAAAATATTATGAAACACATCCAGGAAAACAAATGGCACTAATTTTCTTAGATGCTCAGAAGGCTTTTGGTAATGTAAGTTGGCAATTTATGATACATCAATTAAACTGTATGGACTTTGGAGAAGAATTTATAAATGTAATTAAGATGATATAAACAAACCACTGTTTATAACAGGGGTGTCCAACCTTTCACCTTCCCTGGGCCACATTAGAAGATGAAAATTTGGTTTGGGCCACACATAAAATAAAATAACAGTAACGATACCTGATCATCCAAAAAAACCATAGAAAACATAGTTAACATATTAAATTTATTTGGAAATGAAGTTAGTGAGATGTTTTTATTATTTATTATTAATTATTTATTAAAAATTATTTATTTTTTATCACGGTTTTTTTTATCACTGTTTTTTATCACGGTTTATTTTCCGGCCAAATTTTGCGGTGCGGGGGGGGAGAAAGCTCGCCTGCCTCGCGCCTACCTCTCCTCCTGCAAATGGCCCGGCTGGATGAGGCAGGACTGGAAGGCAGAAGCAGCAGCAGCGCCGGGGGCAGAAGCTTTCCCCTGCCACCACTGCTGCCCCCACCACCCCCGCCGCCGCTTCTGCCCCCGCCGCCTCTTCTGCCCCCACTGCCACCCCCGCCGCCACTGCCGCTTCTTCCCCCGCCACCACTGCCACTTCTGCCCCCGCCGCGGGGGCAGCGGCGGCGGGGGAAGAAGTGGTGGCGGGGGCAGAAGCGGCGGCGGGGGAAGCAGCGGCGGCAGGGGCAGCAGTGGTGGCGGGGGCAGAAGTGGCAGCGACGGTGGGGGCAGAAGTGGCAGTGGGGGCAGAAGCGGCAGCGGGGGCAGAAGCAGCGGCGACGGTGGGGGCAGAAGCAGCGGCAGTGGTGGCGGCGGCAACAGCAGGAGGTGGCGCTCTTACGGCGCTTGCCGTTTCTTTTGCTGCTTGGCCTGGCACTCGCCTTGCCCTGCCTCGTGCCTGCCTCTCCTCCTCCTCCTCGCTGGCTCTGGCACGAAGGTTGGGGTGGGCACTGGGCCGCATTACGAGGTGAACTGGGCCGCATGCGGCCTCTGGGCCGCGGGTTGGACAAGCCTGGTTTATAATAAGTAACTGTAAATGGGGACTACACAGATAATTTTAATATAAAGAAAGGAAAAAGACAAGGATGCCCATTATTGCCTTTAATATTTATATTAACTTTGGAAGTCTTGAATAGGGATATCAGGCAAAATCCAGAAATTAAATGATTGGAGATAAGAAAGGAAAGATATAAACTACAAGCATTTGCAGATGATTTGGTATTCATTGTAGAAGAACCGTTAGAGACAACTTCTATTAAAAGAGATGAAGGAGTTTGGAGAGGTAGCAGGACTAAGAATAAACAGAAAAAACTAAAGTGATAGTTAAAACCTTACACAAAAACAAAAAAACTGGCAGAAAAAGTGAATTTTCAAATAGTTAAGAAAGTCAAGTACTTGGGAATATACTTTCTGTTTGGAATTCTGCACTTTGATATAGCCCATGGGCTAATCAACAAAGTAAACTTTTAGAACAATACTTCCAAGAATTTAATCTATTCTTTGAAATTGAGAGTGGTGGATGACTGCTGCCCTGTCATGGGCTAGGGAAGCTAGCAATAGGTCAGGGCTATATTGTCATCACATCTCATGCATATCTTATGGATGGCTTCAGCAACCAGGACCCCCATTTTGCAAGAATGCTAAAGATATACTGACAACTATCCAAAATGCTGAATACCTTTATTCTTGATTAGCATCTTATAAAATATGGAACTAAAGAGTAATTGCTTTATTGTAATACAAACTAAAGATAGGGGAATATTTTCAATTTCTTAACATACAGTGTCAAGAATTATAAAAGTCAGGAATGTGTTTGCTGGCATACAAAGCCTTCAAGATGTTCCAAAAAGCATATACTCATGCAATATTCAGTGTTTTGTTTTTGACAAATATCAATAGGTCATTTTTTCATGTTGCAGTATATATACAGTAAATGGTTGAAATATATGTTTTGCATTCAATACTGATTGTCCATTGTCCATTTTTACGTATTACTCTAAATGTATAAAAAATTACGGCATAGCTTGTTACGTATGCAGTTCAAGAGTACATTCCAGGTTCAGTGGGAAAAAGAAAAAGATCAAAACATGTCCAAATGAAGATTAAAGCACCCCTATTGGTTTTCCAAAATGGTGAAGATGCTTTCTGTTTGATGATTAGAATTGTAATTGTACATGCCAAGATATGTGTTAGAACCAAAACAGTTTCTATTTTTCCGATTTTAACTTAGGAAGAACTTGAAAGTTTTGGCCTGCAGATGCTAACTAATTGGTTAATCATTATTCTTTCTTCTTAGATTTGGAAATCACTATACCAGTTGGACATTCTCAGATTATGCCAAAGAAACCAGAGTGTAGCATTTATGAATATAGTCCGAGAAAAAATCTTTTCCCAGTAAGCAAAGAGATAAAGCGAGGTGACTGGAAAACAGAAAGCACATCAAGTACTGCAAGTAAGCAAGCAGGTAGCCAGAAAGCTATCTAGCAAGGAATGAAGAAGTATACTTTGGATTTCAATAGTTTGCATTGCTCAAATTAAGGAATTCCTAACCTATAATTTGTTTCTTCACATTAAATGTATTGTCAAATCTCTTTTCTTCCTGTCTGGCTCTCTTGATCACCCACTTCAACTCTACCTGTCTATTTAGTCATTTATTTATATCTTTGCACTATATTTGTAGGTACATTTATTTAATATTGATTCTTACTTTTATTACTTTATTGCTATCAATTTATAGAATCAGTTACTGTAATTAATCTTTTTAATTCTTTAGCCCTTTAAGTCATAATCACTCTTTTTATACTATCCTATAAATTTTGCAGTTATACTTGACCGCTCGGTGGCTTTGGATACCATCTACCATGGGATTTTCCTGGGGCGGCTTCGGGGGATGGGAGTGGGATGCCTTGTGCTGTCCTGGTTCACTTCCTCTGCAGCCGCTCTCAGTCAGCGTTGATAGGAGGGGAGAGATCCAGCCCTTGCCCACTGCTTTATGGGGTTCCACAGGGCTCAGTACTCTCTCCGCTCCTGTTCAACATTTATATGAAGCCACTGGGTAAGATCATCCATCACCATGGACTGAAGTATCATCAATATGCTGATGATACCCAGCTGTATGTCTTGGCCCATGGTGAGTTAAGTGTTGCTGTGTCCTCCCTCTCACAGTGCCTGGAGGCTGTTAGCACCTGGATGGGGAACAATGGGTTGAAACTAAATCCTTCCAAGATTGAGTGGCTCTGGGTTTGGGGTTCATTGGCTCAGGGAGAATTGCCACCTTTGGTCGTGGATGGGGTGGCACTACCCCAAACAGATCCTGTATGTAATCTAGGGTTTTTTTCCTGGACTCACAACTCCTGCTTGAAGAGCAGGTGGCAGTCGTGGCCAGTAGGGCCTTTAGGCAACTTTGTGTACCAGTTATACCATTTCCTGGACCAACAGTCCCTACTCAGTCACTCACGCCCTAGTCACTTTCTGTCTTAACTATTGCAATGCACTTTACATGGGGCTGTCCTTGAAGAGCATCTGGAAGCACCAGTTGGTGCAAAATGCAGCAGCCCACATGGTTTTGTGCAGACCCTGTTAGTGTTTGGGGATAAACCCCCGAGCTGAGTGCACAGCAGCAGTCAAGCCAGGCAGCCAAATGAGAGAGAGGCTGGGCCCAAGAGTATACACACACTTGAGACAAAAACACTGTTTGTGGTTTTTAAAATAGATATTTAATTCACACAGAGATTAAGAATAGTCATTCAGTCCATATGTCAGTATCCAGTATATCAATCCAGTTACCTAGTCTTTTAAACAGTAAATACAATGTCTTTATCTGCTTGTATATCTTCTTCTTAAGATACCTTTCTCTCAAATACAATGCTGAATCCACAGCTCACCAAGCAAACAGTCCTTGTGTTCAGATGAAATGGTATCTGGCACAGTAGCCTCCAAGAGGAAGCAGATAGACGTTCCAGCAGGCAACAGACCAGGAACAGAACCAGGTGCATCCAGAAGCCGGGTCTATTACGTTTCCCTTCCTACCTTTATGGCTGCCTGCAACCGCACCCACAATGACATTGCAGTTTCGAGCTTAAAGTTGCAAACACTTATGCCTAGGTTTTATATATTCATTCACCCAAACCAGTTGGTGTATTCATATACCCAACATACTCCCCTTTTGGGTGACATAAATATATAATGCCTTTACATTTTAAACCCATATTTTTCACAACTCTCTAGATGCTTAATAGCACCTTGGGCTTTAGTAAAATGATCAGCTACATTGTCCTCCGACATGCAGTACTCCAGCTGTATCAATTTACTCTGTACAGATTGTCTTACATTAAGATACCTCAAATCTGTATGTTTACTTCTCGTTTTAACTGCAATATTAGTGGCCATTTGAATTGCTGCCTGATTATCTTCATGTACAACTATAGGGTAATGTACAGTTATACCCATATCATTCAACATTTGTTTGTACATAATTAACTCAGTACACAGTAGCGATAAACAGGAGAATTCTGCCTCCATAGTAGACAAACTTATATGCTGTTGCCTTATAGACTTCCAGCCTATTAATGTCTTACCCAGCATTATGGCTGTTCCTGAAGTCGACTTTCTAGTATCTCTTTCTG